GGGGGCAGCAGGGGCAGCAGCGATGGGCTTTGAGGCTGGGTCTCCTCGGCACTCAAGTGCAGTGGGCACCTGGAGTCCCCTGCCTGGCCCTGCGCCCCTCAGCCTCCCAGCCCCAGCCTCGCCGAATGGCTCTGCACGCTGCCCGCCTTGCCTGGGCCTGCATGGTGTCTGGGCCCTCAAGGGGGGCCGGGCAGAGGAGGGCAGCTGCAGTAGGAGGCGGGGGTCCCCTCCCAAGTGGCATAGATGAACGAGACCCCCAATTCTCATCCCCCATCACTACTGAGAAGGGTTCACCCCCATGAGTTTTCATGCCACAGGGGGGAAACAAGCAAAGCTGTCCGAGACACAGAGAGAGAGGGTCTTAGGGAGGCCCTATCCAGCTTGGGAGCAAGGAGGGCTTCCTGCAGGAGGGGGCCGCTGAGTGTCCCGCCCACCACAGCCAGCTCAGACCATCTCCTTGTCTTTCCAGGCACTTTGCCCAACCCAGGTACCTGCCCCCCACCCTGCATGCCTAAGCCCCTTGCTTCTGCCAGCCCCTGCACGGGGCTGCAGGCTGGCCTGGCCTCTCCACCCTTCTGCCACTGCCATGTGGAAGGGCAGACATTGCAGGCAGATGCTAGGCCTGCTGGGGTCTGCTGCAGGGTGGGCTCGGGACAGCCAGGGTTGGGTGCCAGGCATCAGTGGGAGGAAGGGTTGTCCACTCACCTGCCTGGTGTCCAGGCTGCTGCCTGCAAGCTTGTGTGTGTCCCTCTGCCCAGCTTGCATGCCTGGCTGCTTCCCTGCTGTGCTCCGGGATGCCTGCCAACTCATGGCTGCTCCATGTCTTCAGTGCTGGCCTGGCCGTACTGGCTGCCGGCCTCTTTGGCTGCTCGAGCTGAGTCGACCTCTTTAGTGACTGCATGCCAGACCTAGGAGCATGAGGGTCTCAGGCCCTGCTCACCCAGACTCTGGGACAGCCACCACCCCCTGGCCCCCATCTGTGCATGGTTCTGTGGCCAAGGCAGGTCCTCATGTGCAGTGGTGGCAGCTATATCTTCACTCAGTGGGAACTCAGTGGGCACTGATATGCCCTAAAGGGGTAACTGCAGGGAGAGCATTTAGTGCAGACAGACAACTTGGTGAAATCATGACCGACCCCCCAGGTTATGGCCATCAGATGGGCCGGAAACCCAGCAGATCCCAGACAAGAGGCAGTGGCCACTGGCCCCTTGGAGGACTAGGAGGGGAGGGACTCTGGGCCTGGTGGCGAGAAGATAGCTCATGCCCAGACTGAGAGATGGGTGGGGGACACACAAGATTATCCTGCCCCCTAAGAAAGCTCCCATCTGCCACCCCCCTTCATCTAGGTGTGTCTGAACCCCACTGCCAGCCCAGAAGCCAACCATAAAGGCCCCAGCTTGGGAGCCCCTGGCAGGGCGGGGTCTGGGCAGGGCCAGGTGGAGTCTCAGCTTCCAGGCCCACTCCTGGGGCTGCCCTGAGGGCCCCCCCTCCCACAGCCAAGGGAGTTGGTGGGTGGCCTGCCCCTGAGGCCCTCTCATGCCCAGGCCTCCCACCCTGGGTTGCCCATCAGGCAACAGGAGCCAGACTCAGGATGCTACTTCTTCCTAAATGCGCCCCCTCCCTGAGAGAAACCCTCTCCTACACCCTCCTGGAAACTCCCCACATCTGAGCCCGGGGCCTTCCCCCAGCCCCACTCCTACCACCTAGCCCTGGTCACAGGCGCCCTCTCCCTGCAGAGGCCCAGCGCCGGCCCTACTACGCTGACTACTCGCCCACTCGCCGCTCCATCCACTCGCTGTGCACCAGCCACTACCTCGACCTTTTCATCACCTTCATCATCGGGGTCAACGTCATCACCATGTCCATGGAGCACTACAACCAGCCCAAGGTGGGGCTCAGTGCGAGGCCCTTCCCACCCTGCCTCCAGCACCAGTTTGGGAGATGAGCCCTGGGAGTGCCCTAGGTGGGATCCCGCACCTAGGGGGTGGCCTGGATCAGTAGGTGCTACCCTGAGAGCTGGGAGGTCTTAGGGCTGCAGCCCTGGGTGAGCCGTCACTGGAGTTTGCGGATTGTGGTTTGAATAGAGGATCTTCCTTTTAACATCAGTTGAAACTCTCAGGGCCGCCTGCCCTAGAGGGCCCTCCCCACCCCATGAGCAGTTCCATCTCCAAACTCTGGCTGTTGAAATGTCCCTAAGTTCAGCTTCCCGGGCTATAGGTTTCACAGTCCAGGAAAAAGCCAGACAGAAAGGGCTGGCAGGAGACAGGCAGGCATAAATGGTCAGCTTTTTTATTTCCTTCCAATTACATCTGCATCACCATCATTTCATTAAAGAAAGGACTCCCCCTCTCCTGTCTCCCACCATGGGAAGGGAGGAGTCTCAGGGCATCAGAGCCTTTGAGTCTGAGCCTGCTCAGCCTTTTGGGAAGCTGAGCTCTGGCTGGCATGGGCTAGCTCCTGCCCCAGACTGTGGGTGGGTCCTGGTCAGTGCTGGGCCAGGAATCTGGGCTCAGAGAGACAAGTTCCCCCCACCTGAGGGTTGTCCTCAAAATGCTGCAAGTGTCAATCTAGGTGATGCCTTCCAGACCTGGGACAGGCCCGCATATCGTAGGTGCTCAATAGCTGGGCCTCAGAGAGACCTGTCCTCTACCTGGAGCCTCGCAGATTGGAGAGAGATGGGGCAGGGTGACCAGAAGCCAGGCACTGGGGTGCCTAGTGCCACAGTGGGGAGAGGAGGAAGAGGAGGAGGGGTAGCCTAGGCAGGATGGCCTCCGCAGCCTGACGCTCTGTCCCCAGTCACTGGATGAGGCCCTCAAGTACTGCAACTACGTGTTCACCATTGTCTTCGTCTTTGAGGCTGTGCTAAAACTGGTGGCATTTGGGTTCCGGAGATTCTTCAAGGACAGGTATGTGGGGTGGGGCCGCCTGGCATCCTGGAGGACCCATGGAGCTCTTGGGGGAGAGGGCCGGTGAGAGTCACAGCCCTTCCCTCTGATGGGCTTAGCCTTCTGTCTGCAAAGCTGACGGTGCTGAGCAGAGGCGTGGGACACGCCCAGTGGGTGGCACCAGGACATGCCTATGGGTGACACTAAGATGCACCCAGTGGGTGACACTAGGGTACCTCCAGGGTGATAGGGAGGGGACTCCTGCTCTAAAGGGCTGTGGGTGGGGGAAGGAAGCAGCCCGGTGCTGAGCCCGACTGGCGCCCAGGTGGAACCAGCTGGACCTGGCGATCGTGCTGCTGTCCATCATGGGCATCACGCTAGAGGAGATCGAGATGAGCGCGGCACTGCCCATCAACCCCACCATCATCCGCATTATGCGCGTGCTCCGCATCGCCCGAGGTAGGCACCATCGGGGGCCCCGGGGCCACCCCGACCATGCCCCAAGGCCTCAGCAGGTGGCTAGTGCTGGTGACAGGAATGTAAGGGACAGGGGTGGTCCTGGGGCCCAGCCAGCTGAGAGAGGGTCAGACTGGCCAGGACCCCCACCTGTCCCTAACACTCAGCTCTTGGCCCTAGTGCTGAAGCTGCTCAAGATGGCCACAGGCATGCGCGCCCTGCTGGACACGGTGGTTCAAGCGCTGCCCCAGGTAGGTGCACAGCTGCCCCGGGGGTGAGCACTACAGGTACCCCCAAGAAGACAAGGCCGCAGGGAGGGCCTCGCTCATTGTCATTCATTCATTCATTCATTCATTCGTTCATTCGTTCATGTGGTCATCTGTCCTTGTGATAACGACGTTTATCATTCCTACGGGTTCAGGGAATAGTGGCCATGCTGGGAGGGAGACTGCTGTCTGCCTTCTGGGCCTTGGTCCCTCTGGGGAGGACTGAGAACCAGTGCTCGCCTCCCCCGGTCCAGCATCGGATGTGTAGGATTCAGGCAGAGGGCAGAGGACGTGGCTAAGGTGGGCTTCTCTGAGTTCCGAGAAACCCAAGGTTCATGTGTTGGCTGAAGGCCTCTCTCCTCTTTTGGAGCCAGCTCAGGCCCTCTGTCCTCGCTTCTTATGTCCGCATTCCCCACACTGATCCTTTGTGACCTCTTGAACTGAAAGAAACCCTTTGCCCCATCTGTGCAGTATCCAGTTCTTTTGCCAAGCCAGCCTGTTCAGCCATGTGTCCATCTGTCCATGGTTCTGACTCTTTGGGCCAGCCATCTGTCCACCTAGCCACCCATGTGTCCATCTGTCTACTATCCAGCCAGCCACTCACCCCACAGCTGCATGACCACCTGGCACCTTATCTCTCAACCACCTACTCACCACACACCTGTCTATCCGCATACCTGTCCAGCCATGCGCCCGCCAGCCCTCCATGTGCCCCCTTCAGCCAGCCCCCACTCATCTCCTTAGCGGCATTCCTCAGCCCTGTCTGAGTTACAGTCCCAAGGTCCTTTGTGCCTGCCCGCTGACTGTGGGAGTGACAGGAGGGTAGGGAAGTCTGGGCCTGGTCATGCCCATCGTCAGGGGCACAGGCAGTGTGTGAAGACAGAGCGCCCAGCCTGGGGGCAGCATAGGCCCTAGGAAGGTGTGTTGGCGAGATCCATGGTTAAGCCTCGGCCTCGGCCTCCCCATGGGGACCCCGAGGGTAGAAGCAGGCTCTACACAGAGGCCTCGGGAGGCCTTCTAGGCTCTGGGAAGCAGAGATGCTGGAGGCAGAGGTGGTCCTGGGTGCAGGGTGGGCATGAAAGGTCGAGGAGGGGCCTTGAGCACCAGGCAGGACAGGGAACCCATAGGGACCATGGGAGCTCCAGGGCCGGGGGCTGGGTTAAGAACAAGGCTTCAAGGCTGCCTCTGGGAGCTTGGCCTCCTGCCTGGCAGGAACGGGTGAAGGCGGCTGGGGGGGCACCAGGCACCGATTGCATAGCAGGTGGGCTGAGGCCTGACCTGGTTCTGCTTCTTTCCTGTGTAGGTAGGGAACCTCGGCCTACTTTTCATGCTCCTGTTTTTTATCTATGCTGCCCTGGGAGTGGAGCTGTTCGGGAGGCTTGGTGAGTGGCGTCCAGGGAAGGGGCAGCCTCACCCCCACACACATGGCGTGCAGACAGCTCTGGCCACTGACCAGACCAAGACAGGTCCCCTTGCTCCCTCAGCCCTTACTGCACAAGGCGAGCGTGCCAGTGGGCACACGTAGGAACATCTACGCACACACAGAAGCATGCTGCCAGACTGGAGACACACACACATACATACACATACCCGGATACGCATGTGGACACACACGTGTGTTTATACCCCAGCAAGGAAGGCAGAGCCACAGGCGAACCTGAGCAAACATCTACATGGGAACATGCACATGTTACCCTAATCTGCACCTGGTCCCCAGGGGACAAATGCTGCAGCATGTCCTTTTTTAATTGTCACCAAGGATTTCCTTAATTCCCCTCTGGCCAATCTGGACAGGGGTGCAGGAGGGACCGTCTCTGGCAGCCTACTTCCTGTAGGGTCCCCCTCCCCTCCTTCCGGGGTCTTCTGAATATCTACTGTTACTGAACACTCAGTGGCTCCCAGGAGCCGCCAGTGGGCCTGTCTGATGTGGCTGATGTGCTTTTCAGTTTGGGGTCTGGCCATAGCGGCCTCCGGGGACCCTGCAGCTGGTGCCTCAGACCCCAGGCCTGACTCCTGGCCCCCGGTCCAGCCTCATGCTCCAGAGTGGCCCCATTACTCCACTGAGGCCTGAGGATGCGCAGGGCCTGGGGAGCAGGCTGAGTCATCCTCTGGGGCTGAGCCAGAGCTGGCTGGCACCAAGGCCTTGGCTTCTCCATCCAGAGAGCCCTAGATCTAGAATAAGCAGGGCTTCAGGCAGCCGCCATGCTAAGGAGGCATCACATCACCCTGTTTTGAAGAGACATGCCTCCTGTAGGTATCTACCTGCCAGGTGCCCCCGAGCTAGGCAACCACCCAGTGCCCCAGAGAAGCATGACCACCTCCCTGGGGGAGGGGCAGGTCTTAGGGCCTCCCAGGCCAATGTGCACCCTGACCCAGGAGTGTGGCTGACCTGGCGGGTCTCTGCCCTGCAGAGTGCAGTGAGGACAACCCATGTGAGGGCCTGAGCAGGCACGCCACCTTCTCCAACTTCGGCATGGCCTTCCTCACGCTGTTCCGAGTGTCCACGGGGGACAACTGGAACGGGATCATGAAGGTACCAGCCCAAGCCAGGCGGGCAGAGAGGTGGGGTTGGCCTGCACCCTCCTGCAGCTGCCCCTTCGCCCACAGGACACGCTGAGGGAGTGTGCCCGTGAAGACAAGCACTGCCTAACCTACCTGCCAGCCATCTCGCCCATCTACTTTGTCACCTTTGTGCTGGTGGCCCAGTTTGTGCTGGTCAACGTGGTGGTGGCCGTGCTCATGAAGCACCTGGAGGAGAGCAACAAGGAGGCCCGCGAGGACGCCGAACTGGATGCTGAGCTCGAGCTGGAGATGGCGCAGGAGCTGCCCGCTCATCCCAGGCCCACAGCCCCGCAGAGCCCCAGCACTGGGCCCGAGGCCCCCAACCTCCCGGTTGCTCGAAAGGTATCCGTGTCCAGGATGCTCTCCCTGCCCAACGACAGCTACATGTTCCGGCCTGTGGCACCCGCCTCAGCCCCTCACCGCCATCCACTGCAGGAGGTAGAAATGGACACCTACGTGGGCACCACCTCCTCCGGTATGAGCCACGGAGGCAGCTGGAGGACTTGGGCTGGTGGGAGGACATAGGAGGACTCAGGTGGGTGGGGGGACTCAGGGCTGGTGACACCTGCCTGGTTTAGACACCTTCCTGCCCCAGGCTTGGTCACCGAGCGCTCACCACCTGTGAAGTCCTGCGCCTCCCTCCAGGTCTCGTCCTCCCCTACCAGGGGCAGCAGCACCCTCCTCACCCTGCCCCCTCGGGCCACAGCCCACTCCCCCAGCTTTAGCCGCCTACTCTGCAGACAGGTAGGAGAAGCCCCCGACTCCTGCAGGACCTCGGGGGGTTCCCTCTCCCCATTAAAGGATGAGCGACAGGGATACTGGGGAAGGGGGGTGCTTTGTTCCTGGAGCCCATGATGACAGTTCCCAGCCACACTCCCTCCTTGGGCGGCTGCCTCAGTCCCCCACAGCACCCCGGCAACGGCTCCTGTGGGCCTCACCTATACCCATAGACCACCCTTCCCATCCTCAGGGCGCCGCGCTGGGCTGGTGGTGCACAAGGTCGCCTCGGCCCAGCTCTGTGCCCAGCAGGGTTTCCAGGGCCCACAAAAGGCTCTCCCTACTCTCAGGCTCCAGCCCTCTGCTTCTTGCAGCCCCTCCCCATCGTGACAGGCATGGATGGTTGGCACCCGCATGCAGGGTGGTCTCCAGGGTGGCATGGGTGGGGCTGGAGGACAGTGGCATCCACACCAGGGGCTCTCAGCCCCATCTCACCCTGGATCCCACTCTCAGGGGGTCCAGATCCTTCTCTGGCCCAGTCAGGAGGAGCCTGCACCCCTGGCTGCTGGCTGGGCTCTGCCTGGTCTCACCTGACCCCATGCCCTTGCAGGAGGCCCTACACACCAGCTCCCTGGAAGCAGAGGTTGACGGCCCTGCGGACTGTGGCCCTGACTTGGGGGAGCCTTGCGGGAAGACCCCCTCAAAGCAGGCATCCCTGGGGGACTCCCTGAGGTCGCCTCCGCACTCCCCAAGGCCCGCCAGTGTCTGTACCCGAAAGCACCCTTTCGGTCAGAGCTGCACCTCCAGCCAGCCGGCGGCCACAGGCGGGGAGGAGGTGGAGGCCCCAGACCCAGCCGACGAGGAGGTCAGCCACATCACCAGCTCGGCCCGCAGCCCCTCGCCCGAGGCCCGCGCGGCGGTGGGCGGCAAGCCAGACCCCTGCAGGCGCTACGGTGTCGACGCCCAGCCCAGCCGGGCAGACCCGCACCAGCGGCCCGCGGCGGAGCAGGGCGGAGGGGACAGCCGCTCAGAGACGGCGGAGCTTAAGGCCCAGGCACTGGAGGCCGAGCCAGCCCCAGGCGCCCGCAGGAAGAAGAAGATGAGCCCCCCTTGCATCTCCATAGACCCCCCCATGGAGGACGAGGGTGCAGCCTGGCCCCCTGTAGCAGAGGGTGGCAGTACCACCCTGCGGCGGAGAACCCCATCCTGTGAGCCCATGGAGGGCATGGGGGTGGACCCTACCGCCAAGGGGGAGCGGTGGGGCCAGGTTCCCTGCCGTGCAGAGCACCTGACCATCCCCAGCTTTGCCTTCGAGCCGTTGGACATGGGGGGCCCCAGCGGAGACCTATTCTTGGACAGTGGTCACAGGGTGGCCCCAGAACCCAGAGCTTCCTCGGGGATCACAGCACCCACTGAACCCCACAAAACAGAGTCTCCTATGCCCTCCAATGATCCCCCAGAGAAGGGATGGGGGCTGTACCTCAAAGTCCCCCAGAGTCCTCCAAAGAAAGCAGGGTCCCCCCCAGCCAGTCCCACACCAGGCGACAGTGTGGATGAGCCTGTGTAGCTGGGGGCACAATGCCACACAGGCTTGGCACGGGTTGGGGTGTATCCAGTGGGGTGGTGGCCCCACACAGGGCCATGCATGGACCCCAGCTCAGGCCCCACCCTGGGCAGAGGAGCCGGAAAACGTCTGCCCGGGGGAGGGAGGCAGACGCTGCTCTGGGGAAGAGCAACAAGGTTAGCTCCTCGGACTGCGAGCCTGTCACTCAGGTTTGGGTGTTTCTGTTTCCCCGCTGTGGTCTGAGACTGCTGGCAGCCTGGTCAGCAGTCCCTCCATGAGAGAGTCATGGGACAAGGCCCAGAAAGCAACCAAAAGGAAAACAGCAGAGGCTGCCCAGCAGAGTCCCATCCTCACATCCACTTATTTTATAGGGAACACATGCTTGGGGCCACTGTGCCCTTGCGGGTGGCAGCTCAGTCCCCCAAGGCCCCCGCCTCCTTGCTTCACCATTGCTCACAGTCTGAGCTCCCACCCATCTGTCCTGACCCCCCATTGCTGTCTCTCCATCTCCCCACCGTGCTGTCCAGAAAACACCCATTGACTCTGGTCTCTGTGAAACGCCGACCCACCAGGAGTGGGAGCCAAGACCCCCAGTGCCCAGCACCTCCAGCGGCCGTCCTGGCGACTGAGCAGAGCCGTTTCCACTGACGCCCCTTTGTTTTATTCTGTTTCTTTTATAAATTCAGGTTAAACGTTGCAATAATCGGATGCAGAAAATTCAGCTCTGAAGTCAAGGGAAGGGGGGCAGAGCAAAGCAGAATAAATATTAACTTATTTAAGGAACAAGTGGATGACGATAAAAATCAGTCCCTCACAAGAGGGTGGCAAAGCTGGGTGGTGACATCGACCATGGTGGGATCGGAGGCTCCCCTCCTGAGCACCTGCCCCCCTGCGGCGTCCTATGGCCCCCCACTCAGGCAGATCCACACACAGGAAGTGGAGCAGGAAGAGTCGGGCCCATCAGAGCCAAGCACGTGGCCCTTACTGGCCAACACGGGAAGAAGTTTTTGCCAGAGCCGCTGACAGATGAGTGCTGTGGGGGGAGCCCCACAGGGAGAGCTTCCCAGCTGGACAGTCAGCTTAGGGCTGCAGAAGGCACCCCACTCTTGCTGTCTCCCCACCCTGAAGTCTTGCACTCTTCGCCCTGACCCTTGACCTTGCCCCATGTCCTGCTGGCCTCTCGGACCAGAGCTCATCTGCAGCCCTATGGGCCCCTTTCCTTGTCCTCAAAGCCTGATCTTGGGGATTTCTCAGAAGGGTCTCAGCTCAAGGCCCAGACAGCTCGGCAGAAACAGCTGAAGCCCCATGACTAGTGTCTCACCAACCCACCCTCTCCACTGCCTTTGTCCCCACATCCATCCTTGGGTCCCATGGTCACCACCACAGATCTAACGGACATAGCATAGCTGCCCAGCTCAGAGTGCCCCTATCTAACCGTCTTCTGCCTGGCCAGGGCCTGGCGACAGCTGATTAGGGGCCTCTGAGAGTGGATGGCTCTTTCCTGCCACCCCAACTCCCTGCCCATCTCCAAATCACAGGCCTGGGTTTTAGGTCCTGTGTCACTGATCCCTCCTTAGATGTGAGGGGACTGAGGTACATGGAGGGTGAGAATGAAGACGTGGCTTCTTGGGGCACAGAATGTCTCCTAGCATCTGGCCTGGAGACATGGCTCAAAAGTGCATGTGCCACGTTTGCCCTAATGAACAGGGACAACACTGGCACCATCTGTGTGAGGACTGCACGTGGAAGCGTGTCCTTCAAGGAAGGGGAGCTGCCCTTTCTGTCCAGCTCAAGGGACAGGGGTTGGAGCCCAGGCCACCCCTCCCAGGCTCTAGAAGGCTTGATGTGTGGGTTGGGGGCCGGGTCTAGAGGAACCAGGTTCTCTGTGCTTCCTGGCCCCCAGTGCCTTCCCCAGTCCCCACAGGAGAGGATTTCAGGGCCCTCACCTGTCCTGGCTCAATTTACCTCCAGCATCGAGACCGCCTCTCCCCACTGGCACCCTGTCATGTGGTTCCTTGATACTTCCACACCCAGAATTCCAGATCTGCTCTGGAGCAAAACACTCCAAACACCATCTGCACGGTCCCCTCATCGACTCTAATTGTGTTAGTTTCTGTGTGCCCATTTTACAGAAGAGCATAGGGAGAGGTGTCATGCCCCAGAGTGCCTCCCTCTCCTAGACCTGCGGGGATGGGGGGGGTAGGTCACCAGCAGCCCAGTGGACATGGGCCATATGGGCAGGCATAGGGGCTTCCTAGGAGGATACCTGTGGACACAGAGGGGTGGCTGCCCCCCTTAACCCCGCTGGCCCAGGGGAAGGCCCTCTTGATCCTCCTTGATAAGCCAACACTCACTTTTATCTGTCACTGTCACTGGCAGGGGGGGCTGAGCTCCTCCAGATCCCAGGGCCAGATAAGGGGAAGCAGGGGTGGGGATGGGGTACCCAGCCTCCTCTCTGCTCTCCCAATCTAAGGGTATCAGCCCCAGGCCCAGCCCATGTATCTTTTCTTCCTTGCACCCCCCACAGGAGGAGCCCTGTGGCTTGTCCCTTAGTGTCCCCCAGCACAGCCTGCCCTTAGAAAAGTGTAAATGGGCTTGTACAAGGTGAACAACCCACAGAGGTCACCTCACCAACCACAGGGGCAACCCCAAGAGTGTGGGAAGGGAGAGAGGGAGGAAGGACAGGGGTGTTCAGTCCACCTCTGCCTTTCACATTCTAGGAAGGGCAAGTATTCTGGCTGCAATAAGATAATTAAAGGAGAGAGGAAATGAGGGCTAGCATCTCCCCCCCCACACTGTTTCCCCAGCAGTGAGAGCCCAGGGTGAGTGGGCAGAGGCCCTCCCACTTGGACCTGCAAAGTCTGCACCATGGGGAGCCGAGCTGCGGCTCACGGGGCTCTGTGCCCAAGAGACAACCTGAAATGCACAGCAGCCAGAGGCACAAAACCTGCGGCCTATTGACATGAGCAGTGGCAGGAAACTTGCTCTGTGACAACATCCAAGAGGTTGGAGCTATTGGACCTGGGGCCTGGGGGCACTGTTCGAATATTCCAAGTGGACAGCTGTCCCCTCTCCTGCCAAAGGGGACCTCCAATTGTGAAAGGGACTCCCACATCAAAAACCATAAAATTGCTTATTAAAGTTAATGAGAGGGCACCCCCACTATCAGAAAGGGGAGGAGGTGGGGGAGGGGAGTGACAGGCATGGCCCCCATTGCTGGGGGTGGGTGGGAAACATCTGGCTTCTAGGAAATGGAGGGTGTGCAGACCCCAGGCCTCAGCCCCCTCACTGGCACACGCCCCACACATTCGGAGGGGGTGCACAGGAACGGCCAGTCACCTGGTCCTAAGACCCTGACTGGGGACACCCTATGTCCCCTGTAGCAGCCTGGACATCAGGCTCCACTTGGGAGCTGACAGGATGAGTGGAGAAATGGTGTCCTCCCCACATGCAGCCTCAGGAAAACGGCACAACACTGTGTTCGGTGTAACAGGCTCAAGGGTTATAATCCATCAGTCTCCCAAATGTGAACGTTAGGCAGACCCAGGACTTGCACATGTACCTGCACAGTGCGACCTGAGAGAGGCTGGGGACAGTGCTGTGGAGAGAGGAGGGGAGGGCACTGCGGGGTTAGAGGGACACAGGTGTGGGGGCCACGGTACATACTGTGACCTCATTGCTGGCTGCCTGGGTGCTCCTAGAATTATCTTGGAAATGTCCTGTGTTGCTTTCTGTGTCCAGAGTATACGTGGCTGCTCCCCAAAGAGACAAGCCCTGGGCACCAGGGGCAGGGGAGGGTCTGTCCCCACAGCAATGCCCAGTGCTCAGGGCCAGGGGGGCCCCACAGTGACAGACAATGGCTGTGCGGCTCCCCTGAAGCCCTCTGCTCCCCCTCAGTGGCGCCCACAGCTAGAAACACAGCCACAACCACATGTGCTCTGCACACACTTTAATGAGGATCAGTGCCTGCCACCTAGTCCCTGCCCTGAGGACAGGGTGGGGTGGGAGGCTCAGGGCAGGGGACAGGGAAGGGAGAAAGGGTTGACACCTGGGCAGGAAGCAGTGGTCTGGGGACAGGAGGGGCTGGGTTTCCATAGCCCTAGGTGGCAGCCCGAGGGATGGCTCAGGGGCCCTTGGGGACGTACTGGTGGATCCAGTCCAGGTAGTAGGTGACACGGGTGTAGATGCCGGGTCTGTTGGGCTGGGCACAACCGTCACCCCAGCTGACCACACCTGCCTGCAGCCAGGTGCCATTGACCTTGCAGACCAGGGGCCCTCCAGAGTCACCCTGGGGAGGAGAGGGGTCAGCAAGTGGCTGGAGAGGCTGAGGCGGTGGGGACTTTGGGGGGGACATGGGCCCACCTGGCAGGAGTCATGCTTCTCGTTCCCAGCACATATCATGTCTTCCTGGACAATCCGGACATTGTCCCCGGTGTACAGGCCCATGTGGTATTTGCTGTCACAGATGCTGTTGTCTACAATGGGCACCTTTGCCTGCTTCAGGGGGAATGGCGGTGGTAGGGATTCTGGGGGTGAGATGAGGGCATTCAGCACTAGCGGGGAGGCCCTGAGCCCGCTGTCAGGGCCCCTCTCCAAAGGAACCCCAGAGCTGGCTCATGGGTGTAACTTGTCCCCACTTCCCCAAGCCCTCCAACTGTCCCTGACACCCACCTCCATTGTCCACATCACCCCAGCCTGTCACCCAGCACTGGGTCCCCGGGGGGAAGGTCTCCGAGGCAGGGGGCAGAGTGATCAGCTGGACCTTGCAGGAGATGTTCACAGGATCCTGGAGCTCCAGCAGGGCGATGTCAAACCCCTCCTGGATGCTATAGAACTTGGGATGCGGGATGATCCGGTTGATGGGCAGCAGATTATCCTGGTAATAGAGGTGTTGCTCCCGCAGCTGCACCCTCAGGAATGCAGGATCTTTGATGTCCCTGGAGAGAGGGGACACACACTCAGGCGGCTGAGCAGGCTCTTGGACACCCCAAGAGGGAGGGTGGAGGAGCCCCAGGCCCACCCCCACCCATCAGGCCCCATGGGCACTCACGGTCCTATGCAGTGCGCAGCAGTCAGCACCCACTGGGGGTGGATGAGGGAGCCCCCGCAGAAGTGCATCCAGTACCGTGTTCTGATTCTCAGGCTCACCTGCCAGGGCCACATGCTCCCAGGGGCCTCCTGTCCCCCTACGATGCCTGTTCTCTCCAGGGCTTGGCTTGGGGCTGGGGCAGGAAGTACCCTCAGGACAGGACCTGGACCTAGCTGGCCCCTGTGCCCACACAGACCTGGGCTTCTGTGAACTCACCC